AATAGACAAATGGGACCTAATTAAACTTGAGAGCTTCTGCACAGCAAAAGAAACAATCATTAGAGTAAACCGGCAAGCAATAGAATGGGAAAAAATTTTTGCAATCTACCCATCTGACAAAGGGCTAAAATCCAGAATCTACAAAGAACTAAAGCAGATTTACAAGAAAAAAACAAACAAACCCATTCAAAAGTGGGTTAAGGATATGAAAAGACACTTTTCAAAAGAAGACAAATATGTGGCCAATAAACATATGAAAAAATGCTCATCACTGGTCATTAGAGAAATGCAAATCAAAACCACATTGAAATACCATCTCACGCCAGTTAGAATGGGGATCATTAAAAAATCTGGAGATAACATGCTGGAGAGGATGTGGAGAAACAGGAACACTTTCACATTGTTGGTGGAAGTGTAAATTAGTTCAACCATTATGGAAGACACTGTGGTGATTCTTCAAGGATCTAGAAATAGAAATTCCATTTGACCCAGCAATCCCATTTCCTAGTATATACCCAAAGGATTATAAATCATTCTGTCATAAAGACACATGCACATGTGTGTTCACTGTGGCACTGTTTATGATAGCAAAGACCTGGAACCAACCCAAATGCCCATCGATTGTAGACTGGACAAAAAAATGTGGCCCATATACACCATGGAATACTATGCAGCCATAAGAAACGATGAGTTCGTGTCCTTTGTAGAGACATGGATGAAACTAGAAACCATCATTCTCAGCAAACTGACAAACCAAACACCACATGTTTTCACTCATAGGCAATGAGAACACTTGGTTACTGGGAAAGGAACAACACTCACAGGGCTAGGTATCGGAGGTGGAGGGGAGACGTGGGGAGGGACAGCGGTGGCGGGGGGCAGGGAGGTTGGGGAGGGATAACACCAGGAGAAATGCCTGACATTGGCAACAGGGAGGGGTGGGTGGATGGAGACAGCAAACCACCATGGCATGTATGTACCTACGAACCATCCTGCAGGATGCAGGACATGCATATATACCCCAGAGCCCAAATACAATTTAAAAAAAAAATCTTAAAGAAAAGAAAGTAATTCTGTATGGCTAGAGCAGAGGGTGCACATGGAATATGAGGTGAAAAGGAGAGGGAGTAGGGGGGTTAGAGCTCACAGGGAGACGTAAAAGTGTAACAGCTAAGACCAGACCTGGATTCAAATCCTGACTCTACCATTTACCTGTTGGTCCTACCCTCTCAAAGCCAGTTTCCTCTTCTATAAAATAGGAGTTTTCAGAATAGGAATATCTGTCTCAAAGAAGTGTTGCGAAGATTAAGAGAAGTAATTGCATGTAAAATGCTTAGCAAAGTCTCTAACGGATTAAACAAATGACTTAAGAAGTAGTGAATTATGCCATCAGAAGAATTTAGGAATTTATCTCACAGACAATAGAAGTCAGAAACTTTTTTTTTTTTTGAGACAGAGTCTCGCTCTGGAGTGCAGTGGCATGATCCCGGCTCACTACAACCTCTGCCTCATGGGTTCAAGCAATTCTCATGCCTCAGCTTCCTGAGTACCTGGGATTACAGGTGCTCATCACCATGCCTAGCTCATTTCTTGTATTTTTAGTAGAGACGGGGGTTCTACCATGTTGGCCTGGCTGGTCTTGAACTCCTGGCCTCAAGTGATCTACCTATCTTAGCTTCCCAAAGTGGTGGGATTATAGGCATTACACCATGTCCGGCCAGAAAATATTTTTTAAGTGAAGAACAATTAAGATTAGATAAAGCTTAGAAAATCCACTATAGTAGCACAATGAGGAAAAACTAGACTGAAATGGAGGAGGGAAAGACTAATTAGGAGATCTCTGAAAATATACAGGTAGGGGAAAAATAGGGACCTCAAAAAAAGAAGGCACTGGAAGTAGGGATGAAGAAGGGACATTGATTTGGAAGTTATTTATAAGGAAGCAAAGAAATGATCAAGAAAAACAGAAGGGAAGTTTAAGTATTCCATGTTTCTATGGGTGTCATCAACCAAGATTAGAAATATGGGAAGATGAAATGGTTTTTAGGAAAGATAATGATTTTAATTTTAGAACTGTCAAATTTGAGGTGAATGCTTCAAAAAGGTCAAATGATAGTTCCAAAGAGTGCCATGAAATCTGACAAACAGGAGTTATCTTAGCAAGGAGGAGTCTCATGGAAATAAAAGCTGAAACAAATAGTAGTGATTGAGGAGTAAACGAGAGGTAAAGCAGTGGAGATAATACAGGTTCTATTTGGAGGAGATTTGGCAAAAAGGTTAAAAAATAGGATGGATGAAATAGCATTCAACAATAAAATATAACAGAATTGATACAACATGGCTGAAATTTAAAAAAAACAGGTGAAATAATGTCAGGTGAAAGAAGTAGGTATGACTCCATTTACATGAAATTCTAGAACACAAAACAATAGTGACAAAAAGTATATCAATGGTGGGTGAAGAGACTACAAAGGGACATGAGGAAACTTTGTTAACATTTGCTGAATTGTAAACTTAAAATAGGTACATTTTACTATATGTAAATTATATCTCAAAAAAGTTTATTAAAAAAAGGTAGGATACTAGATAGGTGTACATAAATATTTTCTTCAAAAGAAAGATGTAATTTGGATATTTTCCTTTTCTTAGGGGAAGCAGTTCATAGAGGGAGGCTGGAGATGCTAACGGAGTAAGAACTTAAAGCAGATGGGCTCTATCTAGAGCAGTGGCTCCCAAATATCCGTCCCTCTTAGACTGACCTTTCATGGCAGCCTATGAAAGCTGGTTCTACAGGTGAGATATTCACCAAGCTGGTTCTATAGGTGAGATATTCTCCAGTACTCTCTAATCTTCTGTCCTTAACTAGTCAATCCCCTACCACAGATCAGTCCAACCATCCATTTTCCCATGAGTGTAGTCAACAAATATCCTGGTAAGTACTGGGACTGATTGGTTTAATTACTGATTTATAATTACAGCCTTGGTTGGCCTTTAAATTTTATTTATTTATTTTTTCGAGACAGAGTCTTATGCTGTTGCCCAGGCTAGAATGCAGCTAGAGTACAATCTCAGCTCACTGCAACCTCTACCTCCCACGTTCAAGCAATTCTTATGCCTCAGCCTCCTGAGTAGCTGAGATTACAGGCATGCACCATGACACCCAGCTAATTTTTTGTATTTTTTTTTTTAGTAGAGATGGGGTTTCACTATGTTGGTCAGGCTGGTCTTGAACTTCTGGCCTCATGTGATCTTCCTGCACATGTTGTCTCCTCTTCGTGGAATACCTTTCTGCCTCCCAAAGTGCTGGAATTACAGGCATGAGCCACTTTGCCTGGCCTCAACACACATCCCATACCTCAGCAGTCAGACAAAACCTCGAAGTTTCCTTTTACCCACAATGTTATTTTTACATCTTGGAGCCTTTGCACATGTTGTCCCCTCTTCCTGGAATACCTTTCTGCTCCCTTTTCCAGACACCACCCCTTCCAAGAAGCTTCCCTAGTGCTTTAGTCTAAGTTACACGTACTCACAGGAATCTGTTCTCTATGTGTTCCCTGCACTACACAGTATACTACTTGAATTGGAATAGGATTTCCTGTATCTGTATCCCTGGCAACTAGCATAATGCCTGCTATATAAGGGGTACTCAATATAATGCTGCATTAATTTTACTTTTCAAAACCAACTCCTTCATTTGTACCATGCTTGACCTCTTCTTATAACTTTTCCATCACTATTCTAATCTCTCCTTTTCTTTCTTTCCACACTTTTTTTCTTCTTTTTTTTTTTTGAGATGGAGTCTTGTTCTGTTGCCCAGGCTGGAGTGCAACGGTGCGATCTCAGCTCACTGCAACCTTCGCCTCCTGGATTCAAGCAATTCTCATATCTCAGCTTCCCAAGTAGCTGGGATTACAGGTGTCCACCTGTAATTAGCCTGGCTAATTTTTGTATTTTTAGTAAAGATGGAGTTTCATCATGCTGGGCAGGCTATTCTTGAACTCCTGGCCTCAAGTGATCCACCTGCCTCAGCCTCCCAAAGTGCTTGGATTATAGGCATGAGCCACAGCACCTGGCTCTTTAAACATTTTTCTATATACTTGTTTCATCTCTGTTTATATTTTCAAGACTTTTTTCCCTTAAAAAGACATACTCCTTTAATGCTATCTTCTGCTGACACTAATCAAACTTCTTGAAAAGCAGCATATTCCTGTTTTCTCCACTCATCACCTCTCTTTCATTCTTTTTATTTTATATTTGAGACAGAGTTTCATTTTATTACCCAGGTTGGAGTGTAGTAGCACAATCTCAGCTCACTGTAACCTCTGAATCCCAGGTTCAAGCAATTCTCATGCCTCAGCCTCCCAAGTAACTGGGACTACATGCACATACCACCACACCTGGCTAATTTTTGTATTTTTGGTAGAGACAGGGTTTTGCCATGCTGGCCAGGCTTGTCTCCAACTCCTGGCCTCAAGTGATTTATCTGCCTTGGCCTCTCAAAGTGCTGGCATTACAGGTGTAAGCTACCTCGCCAAGCCTCATTCTTTAACTCATTGAATTCTGGCTTCTGACAGCACCACTTTACTAAAGGTGCTTGTTATTCAAAGACTATCAATAATTTCTTAAGAACTAAACATACAAAAATGTTATTTCCATGATCCATGTAGTCTTCAGCAATGCAAGCTATAATATCTAAATAAAAAAACAATAAAACAGCCAGGTGTATTGCCTCTCACCTATATTCCCAGCTACTCAGGAGGCTGAGGTGGGAGAACTGCTTGAGACCAGGAGTTTAAGACCAGTCTGGGAAACATAGCAAGACCCCATCTCTAAAAAATTAAAAAACATTAGCCAGGCATGGTGTGTGTACTTATGGTCCCAGTTACTTGAGGGGCCTGGGTGGAAGGACTGCTTGAGCTCAGAAGTTCAAGACCAGCCTAGACAATATAGCCAGACCTCATCTCTTCAACAACAACAACAACAATAAAACAGAAAAATACCTCAATGTTCGTTGCATTCAGCTTCTCCTCCATTACTTGTTTGAGGATGATGAGTGAAGACTTGATGGCTTCTTTCAGAGTCATAGACTTGAAACAAAGAAGGCAAGAAGATGCCTATTAATTATACACAATCCTTCCTTCCTTCAAAGATTTTCCCTTCATCTCACTGTAGAAATTATTTAGTAAGTATGCCAAACATCTTACTTAGTACGATGTATTACAAGTATCTCCAGAACTCAAGTAAACGGCAAATAAGTGGAATACTTTTTCAGAAAAACCCCCAAAACCTTATTGTAAGCCGCAGTAAAGTCACCAACCTTCATATAGTAAGTAGTCTTTGAAGAAGGGGAAAGGGATATACTTCTCTTGTATACATTTGAATTCCTCTTTTAATTTAGAATGTAATATTATTTGTGATATCCTATGAACAATAATGTGCAAATGATCTAAGAAGGTAGCCCAAAGGTTTAGAAAATTCACTTTTTACCCCATTTTGTATCCAATTTCCTCCACATGTAAAATCAATACCATTAGCAGCTGATGTGAGCAGGCATCCCTGTATGAACCACCTGAATGATACAACGGCCTTCATTCACACCAATGAGTTACCCAAAAGCAAATCTTCCCATCTCACAAAGAAAATATCAAATGCCCACTTGCTTCAAGGGCCAATTATAAATTGCTAAGTAAAGCTGTGAAGATAGAGGATAAACGTATTATGGTACATCCACTCAGTGGTATATTACTCAGCCATCAGAAGAAAATATTGGTACAAGATGAATGGATCTCAAAAACAGTCTGTTAAACAAAACAGATAAAAACTTACAAATTCTTTAATTCCATTTATAAAAAAGCACAAGAACAGACAAAACTAATGGACAGTGGTAAACATGGTGGTAAACATGGTTGCAAGGTAGGGAAAGAGATTGACTGGAATGTGGATGAGCATTTGTATTTTTTTGGAGTTGGAAAGTTTTTTTTTTTTTTGAGACGAAGTCTTGCCCTTTTGGAATGCAATGGCGTGGTTTTGGCTTATGGCAACCTCCGCCTCCTGGGTTCAAGCGATTCTCTTGCCTCAGCCTCCCAAGCAGCTGGGACTACAGGCATGTGCCACCATGCCCGGCTAATTTTTGTATTTTTAGTAGAGACGAGGTTTCACCAATGTTAGAACCAGGATGGTCTCAAATTCCTGATCTCATGATCCACCCGCCTTTGCCTCCCAAAGTGCTGGGATTACAGGGATTAGAGGTGTGAGCCACCAGACCCGGCTTCTTGTTTTGCAATTGTCAAAACTCATAGAACTGAACTCTTAAGGTCTGTACATTTTATTATATGTAAATTATACTGTGATTTTCAAAAAAATAGTACAAGTTGTGAGAATACTTAATTACCTTGTGGTAAACTTCTTGCAAGGAGCTCTGGGCACCCTCTGAAGCAGAGCCAATTGCTCGAGCATCACACTGTACAAAAGTCCCAGATGGGTCCATATGAAACCTGCAAAACCACAAAAATGAGGACTAAAATGCTTAAGAGTGGTGGCACTTTATGTAACAAACGTCTCACTTAAACAAAGTATAAATGCTTGGCCCTGCAGCAAGAAAACACCACTGAAATATTGAGGCACAGATATAAAAGATTTTCTATGTCTGGAGAAACCAGACATTTCAAAAAGTGTTTAATTAGTAACTTCCTTAGGGATTTAGAATTATAGTATAGTATGTATAAATATGGTACTTGTTTATGCCTATCTTAGTAATATTTGAAGATAAGGATCAGATCAACATTCCAGAACAAAGCTCTAAAACATACCCTGACTACAGTAACAAAGTTATTTCTAATTCCTTCCAGAATTAACGCTGGTTCCAATAGGAGAATTCTTCGTGGAATCCCCAAATTTGTGTAAACAGCATAGAATCACTAACTTTAGTATTAAAGCCCCGTGTGTGTGTGTGTGTGTGTGTGTATGTGTGTGTGTACATACACATACACACACACACACACACACACATCTACAATAGCCCTTTTACAATAATTTTTTCTTTTTTTAATTTTAATTTTTTAACGAGACAGGGCTCTGTTATCCAGGCTGGAGTGCAGTGGCACGATCATAGCTCCCTACAGCCTCAAACTCCTGGGCTCAAGAGGATCGTCCTGCCTTGGCCTTCAAGTAGCTGGGACTACAGGTGCATGCTAATACCTGGCTAATACTCTACAATAATCTTCTCAGTCCCCACCCCAAATTAAAATAACTCCCTATAAAAGCATGAAGGAAAACTACAAAATGGTACTTACAGTTGGGGTCCTTTCTCATCAACTCCTCCAAACAGCAATGCTACTCCAAAGGGACGAGACTAGAACCAAAAAGTAAGAGATATTAAGATTAAACAGCTACAAAGTAAAGAGGTGAGAGGGGCTGGGAATGTTTATGTTCACAGGACAAATGTCCTAAGTCCCACAGAACAATACGAAAACTCAACACAAGTATCATGCTCACCATGGCACCTGGATCTGCATCTTCTTCTCCAAACTGGAGAGCTAGATTGGACACAGCTTGGGTCACACTCTCCACCGTCATTGTCTCATTGTAGGTGAACCAGTGGTTCTAGAAGAAGAGCAAAGCACGGAACACCCTTCTAATAAGGACATTAAAGCAGCCCACCATCTCACTACACACATTCCTTTAAACTGGGATTGGAAACTGAAGGCTCAAATGTGGGTTTCTTAATTAACATTAACCCTGAGTACTTGGGAGTACATGAGGGGAAGAGAAATAGCTCTGGAAATAAACATATCACAAGGACTCTAAGCAACGATGGACAAGAGAATTACTGCCTTGAAAAAAAGGGTTATGCCCTCAAAGCACCAAGTTTACTCTTTTCAAAAACTAAAAGTGCCTCTTTCCGTCAAAGACTCTAGCTTATTCTGTTGATGTTTAAGTTAAATGACTTATTCTTACATTAGTAGAGAAGCAAACTTGCAAATAAGTGCAAAAAATTTTACCGTATATTTTTCTTACTAGCCTATCTCCAAGCAGCAGCTACAAAGTTAAAACAAACAAAAAAACAGTATCCCTGACCAGTATTTGCCAGCTGCTACAAGTTATTACTCACCGAAGGAGGACTGTTACTTGCAAGCCTGGCAACCAAGGCAGTTGAGGGGAGAATATCCTTTAATTATGTCCACCTCCTGCCAGGGTGCTCCCACAGAAAGTCGATTAGGAAACAATGCATTGCAATGCATGCTTTATATAAGGCAAAGCCAACAAAAGCAAGACACTGTCAGCACTACTGACCAGAGCTTCTTTAAAACTGCAATGGTTGGATGGCTAAACTTCAAGCCCCAGAAAGTTCTAACTGGAAATTCTACCCAAAATTACTCCCAAGAGCCATATCTAATATTGACACAGATATCTGCAGTATAGCTCAGGCAGCTATAAAATAACTAAACAAGGAACTCAAGCATGCTGGTAAAAAGGAGATGATGCCAATTTTACCTGTGTCTCCACTCTGGCTTTATCAATTAAAGTCTTAGCATCAGCAATTAGCCCACTCATGGCACAACCTGCAATGTAAAATTGAAAGTGACCCAGTGGCCAAATCCTTGTAGAAGCTTTCATCCACTCAGGGGATCCTGAAATTCTGGAGTGGAACTATGGCAGCCATTCAGCTATCCCATGGTATTTTATACCCTAAAGATTAGATAGGAAATGATCTGCACTGAACCCAAGTATTAATGGTATTAATGATATTAGAAACAAAAAACCATCCACAATGACACAGAAGTCCAGGCAATAAAAATAAGTCCAGAGAAAAGCAGCTAACCAAACATGAATTTCCACATATTACATCCCTAGGCATCCCTTTAGCACTCTTTGTAGACCATGATACATTTTCAAACTAAGCAAACACTAATGCCCCAACCTGAGAAACAAGGAAAAGAAAATCACCTCACTATGAACTATAGTGAAGGGCCCTCAAATAAATCAAAAGCCTTTTGCCTCTCTGTTCCAAACACAAAGCAACTAATGATATCAGAGAGAGCGTGCCTGATGGCCCAAGCCACCACGATTATAACTGTTATTATTATTTTTTTTCCCCAGACAGAGTCTCACTCTGTCACCCAGGCTGGAGTGCAGTGGCTCAATCTCAGCTCACTGCAACCTCCGCCTCCCAGGTTCAACTGATTCTTCTGCCTCAGCCTCCCGAGTAGCTGGGACTACAAGCAAGCACATGCCACCACGCCGGCTAATTTTTGTATTTTTTTAAGAGACAGGGTTTCACCATACTGGCCAGGCTGGTCTGGATCTCCTGACCTCGTGATTCGCCTACCTCGGCCTCCCAAAGTGCTGGGATTACAGGCTTGAGCCACTATGCCCGGCTATAACTGTTATTTTACATGCCATAATTCAAATGTAAATCTCCAGCCTAAGTTTCTCTCCCAAGTTTCAGACATATAAAGCCAAATAACTTCCTTAATATATCTACTTGGATATATCACACACCCATTTCCCTTCTAGATCCCATCATCTTCCTTGGCCCTCATAACCAATCAGATCACAAGTTCTGTCAATCTCTACCTTCCTCTCCATTCTCTGGCTACTGTGTTGGTTAAAACCTTCATCATCTCTTTATTTCGACTATTACAAAAGTTTCTTAACTGGCCTCCCTGCTTCCAGTCTCAGCCCTTTTTAGTCTACCTTTAACACCATTATCAGAACAGCCTTTCTAAAATTCTAATGGGATCATATTACTTCATTGCGTAAAACCTTTCCCATTTATGCAAAAGATTACACTGAAGCACTTTAGTGTGGTAAAAAAGGAATTGCACTCTCCGACCCCAGACTCATCTCTTGCTGCAGTTAATGTCACAGTCCTACAAAACTGCTTATGCCATGGTATTTTATATTTTACACTACAATGGCTTCAGTCATTTCTATTCCTTCTGACTAGAAAGCTCTCTCTTGCTAAACCCAGACACTTGTTTGCCTTGTGTACACTTCCTTACCTTTCAGAATTAAACTCAGCTCATAATCACTTTCATGGAATCCTTTTCTGAAAGCCCCACTCTATCATTGACTCCAGGCAAAATGAATTATTTCCTCCTTTGTGCTCCTACCGAGAACACACTATTGTCTTTCTTAATACTTTTGTCACTTAATTGCATTTACTTATTTACCACCACAATTAGACTGTATGCTCCTAGAAAACAAGTCTTTCTTTCTTTCTACATCCTGTATCTAGCACAATGTCTGGCACACTGTAGGCTCTCAATTTGTAGAATGAAGTGACACTGAACTACCTTCAAAAGAAAAGACTGGAGTTAAAGAAGACACAATGTTCCAATCTTAAAATATAAAATCTCAGTTTCTATATATATATATATATCTATGAAAGAGATAATATCAAGCTCCCAGTCACCACGGCATTTGGTTCTGATGCCTTTAAGCAATTAATTATTTTGCCAATGTTTCATTAATTAGATGACTAAACAGGTTAAGAAAATTTGGAGAGCCAAATAAAACGCCATTCTATAAATAAGTAGAACAACTCACTCTGTGATTAAAGCAGGGGAATTAAAGACCAAAAAAGTGGGTAGAGGGAAAACGGAATACGAAGACAAATCTGAAAACAAAGTCAAGTCTGTATTATTCCTATAATTCGTAGTCACTCCAAAGATCTTTGAGAATTCCTCTTTTCTTAATGGACACTCCAGCTTCTCACACATAATCCTGTGCTCTGGTGGCCTCCTAGTAGGGCAAATTTTGTGCATCAGTAAAGACTCACTCATCATAAGGAGCTGGTCTATGATTCAACCTTTGCATATTTCAACAACCATCACATTTACAAAGTCTAAAGTTGAGGGGAAAGGAACTTCTAGGAATAGGTTAAACATAAATGAGTCCTGCAACAGCCCCTACTCCTACATTTACGCATTCTGGACTACTGCCTGGAAAATAATAGCTAACAAGGGGATAACATGTTTATTTCATAAACCTTCCTTGGAACATCATAGAGGACTAATTAACCTAAACCAGATTCTACAGAATAGCTTTCCCCGACTCCTTACCTATATGAGCATCAATCTCTACAATTTTCTCAATGCTGCTGGGCTCCATCAGTGGGGAGGTAATTCTCTTCTCCACAGCTAGGCACACACCCTCTGATGTCTGGATCCCAATGGCTGTAGAACCAAGCTAAAAAGAAACATGTTATGATTACCATATACAGGTCACATACTCTCCAGATAGTTCTCTGTAAATCTTCATGATAGAAACTTCAATTGGCCACATCTCATAGGCAGAGAGAAGGAGCACCCTCATACACTGTAAATAATTAATATACTATTCTTTTTAATAGCAAGAACACTGATTTATAGAATTTTATATTTCTAAAAAGTTCTTTTTTCTCCCTTAAATTTTTATTTTTTATTATTTTTTTTATTTTATAAAATTTTATAAAAATAGAGACGGGGTTCCAACAGGCCAGGATGGTCTTGATCTCTTGACCTCGTGATCCACCCGTCTCGGCATCCCAAAGTGCTGGGATTACAGGCGTGAGTCACTGAGCTCGGCTCTCCCTTAAATTTAAAAAAAAATTTTAATGTTTTTTTTTATAATTTACCCAGGTAATTTCCATAACCCCAAAAGAATAAGTTCAACAAAGTCTTGAACACATTGGAAAAATCCACCCTCTAATGCCAATATTTGGGGGAAGGAAGACTCAAAAGTTCTAAACATAGTGGGCAAGAAAGTAATAAAACTCTAATCTAGTCTTTTCTGGACCTGGTCTCTTTTCACCTCTGCCATCTATCTTGGTCTGTCCCAAGAGGTGATATTCCCCAAACCTCCCCGACCTCCAGAAAAGTAATAAAGGAAGGTAGGGAGGGATGAAAAGAACCACCACCACCATCACCACCACCAACATAAAATGATTAATTATTTAAGGTAGCTAGAAGTCCACAATATACCTGGAACCTATCTCTTTATCTCTATGTAACACCAGTCATCTACTTCTCTATGCTCGTTTCTTGCAATAACATACCTACATAAGAAGGGTGAACACATTATGTATTATAAAATGCTTAAAATGGTGCCTACCACATAGGAACAAATGAGAGAGGAACAATAGCCTCTCTCATCTTTAATCTCTCTCTCCCAATGTATCTCTCATGTTACAGCCTGACTGATCTAATAAAATGTTATTATTATATTTCTTCTCTCAAGAACTAACATTACCCTATATTGCTTATAACATAATATCCAAATAAGCTTCCAGAGCCTTCTTATCCTGATGCCACTTTTCCTTTTCAACTTCATTACTCATTATTTTCCAACAAAATCCCTCAGGTATAGCCCAACCCACTTGCTCAAGCCACATTATGTCCTACCCTTGCACCCGTGCTCATGTTGTCTTCCCTGGAATACATTCTTCCTTCTCCCTACCCAAATTCCACTCATCAAAGCCTTCCATGACTATGCTTTGTGCTTTGAATTCCCATTATATTTAATTACTTCTACAAAGTAATCACTGCCAAGTGTGAGCATTGCAAAGCGTTCCAAACAATTCCAAGAATCTTTATGTGTAACTTGCTTAACATGTCTGTAGACTGATTGTTTCCCAGACAATATATTATTTTTCAAATGTGTTGTAACTTTATTTAGAAGTGTTATTAAATGTACACCAGCTTTTCATCATGTATTTTTTTGAGACAGAGTTTCGCTGTTGTTACCCAGGCTCGAGTGCACCTCGTAACATCTTGGCACCATCTTGGCTCACCACAACCTCCACCTTCTGGATTCAAGCAATTCTCTTGCCTTAGCCTCCTGAGTAGCTGGGACTACAGGCGTGCACCACCATGCCCAGCTAATTTTTGTATTTTTAGTAGAGACAGGGTTTCACCTTGTTGACCAAGATGGTCTCAATCTCTTGACCTCGTGATCCACCCACCTCGGCCTCCCAAAGTGCTGGGATTATAGGCGTGAGCCACCACGCCCAGCCTGTCATGTATTTTCTTAATTGGTAGACACATGCATAACTACAGAAGATGAACTGTCAAAAATTTGTATGTAAAAAAATGAGTGCTCAAGGTGGGCACAGTGGCTTACGCCTGTAATCCCAGTACTTTGGGAGGCTGAGGCAGGCAGACTGCATGAGTCCAGGAGCTCGAGACCAACCCTGTTTCTATAAAAAATACAAAAAGTAGCCAGGCATGGTGGTATATGCCTATACTCACAGCTACATGGGAGGCTGAAATGGGAGGACTGCTTGAGCCCGGGAGGTAGAGGTTGCAGTGAGCTGAGATTGCACCACTGCACTCCAGCCTGGGCAACAGAGTGAGACCCCATCTCAAAAAATAAATAAATAAAAATGAGTGCTCATATTTCTAGTTAAAGGGCAGACTAAAGACATACATTAGCTCTACTACTTCCTTAAGTCTATTACTGTATGATTAAAGGACTTTAAAAAAGGCATAAATCCACTATAACAGAGAGTGGGGGAAGACACAGCAACAAAACTTTGAAGCTAAAAAGAAGATAGGTTAGTGATACCTGGGTAATCCAAATCCTAAACCAGCAGTAAAGAAACAACCAGATTTTTATCACATGACCTCAAAAAAGAAAATGGTCCTCGTTACCAACAAGGACCTCTGGAAATGGAAATGAACAAGGAGCTATAATTCAATGTTTAAGAAACAGATTCTCAGATCCTCTCCCCTATGCTGTAGAGCTAAATGACTGCACCACTCCCACTCCTGCAGAAGACTCCAGGCTTACTCTCTGGAGACCATAAAAGAGAGGGTCTTTGGATTGGGGATACTAAGCACAGTCTAAGGCCGGAATAATGTACTGAAAATGGGATAAATACATACAAATTTACAAACATAATGTTAAGAACCTCAGCCTTCTTTCCCTACTCAGCTCTCAGAAGCCAGTAGCCAGAAATACCCTCCAGAAGAGGCAGTTTTCTCCTGAGCAATGGTTTTCAAACTTTTTGACCAAAAGCCACAGTAAGGAATACCTTTTATTTTATTATTATTATTATTTTTTTTTGAGACAGAGTCTCACTCTATTGCCCAGGCTGGAGTGCAATGGCTCGATCTCGGCTTACCTCCTGGGATGAAGCAATTCTCTTGCTTCAGCCTCCTGAGTAGATGGGATTACAGGCACACACCACCATGCCCAGCTAATAAGGAATACATTTGATTTTATAACTAAACTCACAAATAAATATAAATACATAACAAAAACAAAATTTCATGAAAAAAACCCACTTACCACTACTGTTGGCAAGGCATTCTGGTATCTATTGCTCTGTCCCACTTAAAAAAGAAATGTGAGCCAGGGCTGGTGGTTCATGCCTATAATCCCAGCACTTTGGGAGGCTGAGGCAGTAAGATCACTTGAGCCCAGGAGTTTGAGACCAGCAGTTTGAGACCAGCCTGGGCAAGATGGTAAAACTTCACTTCCGCAAAAAATAAAAATTATCTGGGCGTGGCAGCATGTGCCTATAGTCCCAGCTACTCTGGGGCTGAGGTGGGAAGATCACTTGAGCCTGGGAGGTTGTGGCTGCCATGAGTTGTGACTGTACCACTGCACTCCAGCCTAGGTGATAGAGTGACACCATCTCAAAAGAAATGCTCCTCATGATCACTAAAATAAATTTAGTATCTCCTAACAGGTCTAGACCTGCAGTTTGAAAAACATAGCTCTAAAGAATGATCAGTTCAAAATAGAAAAAAAATTTTTTTAGACAGGGTCTCACTCTGTCACCCAGGATGGAGTGCAGTGGCACAATCACGTCTCGTGGAGCCCCAACCTCCCAGGCTCACGAGATCCTCCCACATAAGCCTCCAGAAGAGCAAAGACTACAGGTGTACACTACCACACCAAGCTAATTTTTTAAATTTTTTGTGAAGACAAAGTCTCATTGTGCTGCTCAGACTGGTCTTGAACTCCTAGACTCAAGCAATCCTCCTGCCTTGGCCTCCCAAAGGGCTATGATTACAGGTGTGAGCCTTGCCCAGACTAATTTTTAAAATTTTTTTTCTAGGCACGGGCTATGTTGCCCAGGCTAGTCTTGAACCCCTAAGCTCAAGTGATCCTCCTGCCTCAGCCACCCAAAGTGCTGGGTTATAGGCATGAGCCAAAATGTCCCACTGGGAAAAAAAAAATTTAAAGAAAAATTGGAAAATTGTTGAAGAAAAGTAAGATATTTTATCCATAAAACAGTAACAGGAGGCTAATAAGAAAAAAAAAGAAACAAAAGAACTTGGAAATTAAAAATAGTTTCTGGCCGGGCATAGTGGCTCACGTCTATAATCCCAGCACTTTGGGAGGCCGAGGTGGGCAGATCACCTGTGGTCGGATCACCTGAGGTTGGGAGTTTGAGACCAGCCTGACCAACATGGAGAAATCCCATCTCTACTAAAAACACAAAATTAACTGGGCATGGTAGTGCATGCCTATAGTCCCAGCTACTTGGGAGGCTGAGGCAGGAGAAGCGCTTGAACCTAGAGGCGGAGGTTGCGGAGTGAACTCCATCTCAAAAAAACAAAAATAGTTTTTACGATAATATTGGAAAATGGGTTCTACCAAATTTAGCAAACAAATCAAAAAATGATGACATGGGGTCCAACACAAGAGGAAGTTAAAGGGAATGCCTAGAATGATCTGAGAGAAAATGAAGTCCACAGCTACGCAGGAAGCACAGAGAATAACCAGTCCAGACTGGAGCAGGTCAGACTCCAAGATTTCATTTAGAATCCTTAATGGGGCACAGTGGCTCATACCTGTAATCCTAGCACTTTGGGAGGCCTAGGTGGGCGTATTACTTAAGCTCAGGAGCTCAAGACCAGCCTGTACAACATGGCAAAACCCCGTCTCTACAAAAAATACAAAAAGTTACATGGGCATAGTGGTGCGTGCCAGCAGTCCCAACTACGTTGGGGGCTGACGCTGGAGGATCACTTGAGCCTGGGAGCTTGAGGCTGCCATGAGCTGAGATGGGCATGCATCTCAAGGAAAAAGAAAAAGAAAAAAAAAGGAATCCTTAATAGGACATTTAATTTGGCTGTTTTGAGAGGATATATGTAACCTGCAGAGACTTTGGAATGTATTATTGATCATCCTAAATTAAGCAAATATTTTTAAAAAGAGAATTATAAACTCCACGAAAAACAATATTGTGCAGAAACAGAAAAACAATTATAAAACACAAAATGGCTCAGCTGTGAAAGCATTTACAGTCATACTAATGTAACTGTGTTGACTAACAGTCTAACAAGATTATGATATTCAAGATATATCTGGAGAGGGTCATCCATCCTCACCTCAAAAGACAACTGTGTGTGATGGCGAGTAGGGGTGTGGGGTTGGGGCAGAAATCTTCATCTCTCATAATGAAAAGTCCATGGATAATGCCTAACAAAAAAACCATAAATCTATGTTGTAGAGATATGGAGGTACATGCCTAGAATATTACCAGCTGAAAGAATTTAAAGTGTTGCCTCTGAAAAGCTGAACACAGATGATGCAGGGCTCAGAGTTGCTGTTTTTGTTACAAAGTTTATAGGACTACTTTGCCTTCTGACTCTGAAACTACATGCATGTATACCGTAAAAGTCACAGCAGTATATAATCAGAAACCATTGCCAAAAATTGTAATTTAGCACTTAGTTGTTCTCTAATTGTTTTATGTATAGTATACTGATCCTGAATCCCCAGCTGAATAGAATAAGACAAAATTTATATATACTTTTAAATTTTATTTAGAAGAGTGATTCTCAGTTGGGGGCCCCTTTGTCCCCACCAGGCAGTTGGCAAAGTCTGGATACAGTTTTGGTTGTCACAACTGAAAGAGTAAGTGCTACTGGCATCTAATGGGTAGTATCCAGGAATATTTATAAACATCCCAAAATGCACAAGATGGCCCTCCACAACAAATAATTATCCAGGTCAGGCCAGGTGTGGTGGCTGACACCTGTAAATCTCAACTCTTTGGGAGGCTGAGGCAGGAGGATCACTTGAACCCAAGAGTTTAAGGCCAATTGGGCAACATAGCAAGACCACATCTCTACCAAAAAAAAAAAAAATTAGCCAGGCATGGTGCACACATCTGTATCCTAGCTGCTAGGGAGATTAAGGTGGGAGGAAAGCTTGAGCCCAGGAGCTGGAAGCTGCAGTGAGTTAAGATGGTGTCATTGTACTCCAGTGTGGGTGATAGAGAGAGACCCTGTCTCTAAAAAAACTAAAACAAATCTCTTATTTAGTCCCTTAGGTGTCTTTACCAACAAGAAAACAAAGGTGGTCAGATTCATGATTTGCTCAAGAAAAACAAAACATAAAAAATAAATACAGGTGCTAATTCTGGACTTCTGCATTCTTCTTTATAGCTAAGAGGATCAAAAGCACAAATACATTCCGCCACCCCCACTGAGAAAACACTATTTAGGTAATTATGAAGCAGTTAACTGCTCAAAAAGTTTTAAAATAGATATTAGGAATAGGATTGAAACTGTTATAAAAACAGTTAATAGTGTTTGCTTAAAGGGATATAAGAACATTTTTACTCCAAGGTAGGTTCTACCAGCATGAAATTTCAGGAACTATGCTACTTGCTACTATACCTTGATAGCCTCAATGGCATATTCCACTTGAAATAATCTTCCTTCAGGAGAAAAAGTATTCACACCCCTATAATTTAAAAAAAATTATTAATTATTCTCATAAAAGCTACTCACATAGACCTGAATTCAAGCTAAGCCAGCTACAGAAAATGCATGCTATCATTATTCTCTACTGCGCCCACAACAATCTGTAGCTTTTTTTGTACATTAGTTTCTCAAGGGAATGGGACCTATATATAGAACACTTCTGCCCCACTCACAGAAAGTCTTCTCAAACTGATGAAATGAGAGCAAGTGACTTTTCTGCCTCAATCCTGAATCAACCTGGATCAATTCTGAATTGACTTACCAATTCCCTTGGTAAGTTCATGCCCCAAAACTATCAGCCAATTTCCAAGAAAATGTGTATTTTTTCTTATCCTCTTCCCATAACATGTATGTGATGTTAATATTTGGGGTTATCACTCTTCCTTCCATTCGCAATGCCCTCATTACCTTTCACTTAACTATTCTAATAGTCTCCTAACAGGTATTGTCTTTTGGAGCAGGTTGTAAGTGTTTTTCCCCTAATTCAAACAATCTCTATAAAACACAATTATTAGTTTTTAGTAGAAGTCAGCCACAGGTACATTACTTATTTGTGTGAATTACTATTATTATCTTAACAACAGACTGAGCTAAATGTAGTTCCTATGTCTAACCTAGTTCATCACTCGATATGTATATAAATTACATGCCAGACTGCTTTTCTCTCTAAAACACTTCCCCTTAATACTTAACACTTTCCACCTTTCCTTGCTCAAGTGTGCTGGAAATCCCTATGGAGAAGAGGCACCAATCATGGTCTCAGCTATAAAAGCTCTGAGCACACAGTGGACACAAAAAGTGTTAACAAATGAATGAGATGGTTGCAATCCTTGGTTTATGGAGTCTGGACTTTACAACAGGTAACATGACATGTAGTAGTGCTTTTGGCTGGCTGTGGTGGCTCACACCTGAAATCCCACCACTTTGGGAAGCTGAGGAGGGCAGATCACCTGAGGTCAGGAATTCAAGACCAGGCTGGCCAATACGGTGAAACCCTGTCTCAACTAAAAATACAAAAATTAGCTAGGGTGTGGTGGCAGGTGCCTATAATCCCAGCTACTTGGGAGGCTGAGGCATGAGAATCACTTGAATCCAGGAGGCGCAGGTTGCTAATGAGCTGAGATGGCACCACTGCACTCTAGCCTGGGCTACAGAGTGCTAAGCACCAGTTACTTCCAAATCTCTATTACCAGTTTTACCTCTTTCCTAACAATTTAAATGCTTGCTGAACATTTCCTCTTGAATATTCCATTAGCACTTAACATGTAACATTTTCCAATTTGAAATACTATCTCTTTAAATCCAGCCACCTTGCAAAATTGACTTCATCTCCTGCCATTCCTATTTCAGTTTTATTTTAAAATACCTCCGATCTTCCAGTTTTCCCAAGATAGGAATTTCTAAATGATCTGACTCATTCCTCCCCACCTTTTCCCATATCCAAATATATGCTAAGTCATACTAATTCATATCAATTCCTCCTCCACAGTAACACGTCACTCTTCCTTCTCAATGCCCTCATTACCTTTCACCTAACTATTATAATAGCCTCCTAGCCTCCTGACAGGTATTGACTCACTTTCCCCTGATTCAGACAATTAATCTCTGAGACACAAGTATTATTTAACAGCAATCAGTTGCCTACAGAAATAGGACCCAAACGCCTTAACCTCATATTAAAACCATTTAATATCTAGCAGCATGCTTTTTCCTATTATCTCCCGCTGTTCCCATGCATGTATCATATGTACCAGTCAGACTGGACTTTTCCCAAACATGCATTGTTTTTCCATTGCCCCTCCTTCATTTATCCCATATTCTCCAACTCACAACTATTGATCTCACTGTCTTTATTAAAATTCCTACTCTTTCAAGAGACCCAGCTCTTTTTTGTGGTTTTTTTTTTGAGACGGAGTCTCGCTCTGTCACACAAGCTAGAGTGCAGTGACGCAATCTTGGCTGACTGCAACCTCCGCCTCCCGGGTTCAAGCGATTCTTCTGCCTCAGCGTTCGGAGTAGCTGGGACTACAGGTGCGCGCCATCACGCCCAGTTAAAGACCCAGTTTAAATGTCAGCTCCTTTGTGAAGTTTTCCATGATCCTCTCATATTGAATGCAATCTCTCATCAAAACTTCCACGGTACTGACTTGAATTTCTCTAATGGCATTAATATGTTTCTGACTCACACTACAGTTACTTCCGTAAGCAATTCTGTTTTGATTTTTTTTGAGACGAGGTCAGCGCCACCATGCCCGGCTGATTTTTTTTTTTTTAATGTTTGGTAGAGACGAGGTCTCGCTATGTTGCCCAGGCTGGTCTCCAACTCCTGAGCTCAGGCAATCCTACCTCGGCTTCCCAAAGTGCTGGGATTACAGGCATCAACCACTGTGCCTGTAAACAATTCTTTAAGAGAGTCTCCTATATGAGAGCAAGGAGCTTGATTTTGTCCATTGCTGTAGCACCAGCACCTAGAACAGTGCTTTGTTCACAGCAAACACTCAAGCACATTAACTAAGAGAACAAAAATAGATGTATTTTAGGTGGTCTTGGGAAGATAGAAAAATGAGTAACAAAGCAGTCAATACATGTTAAATAAACGGCCACAAAATTTAATAAACGCTTTCTGATAAGGATAACAATTTCCATCATACACACCCTTACTCAAAATTATGTCACCCGAAGATGATTCTCTTTAATATTCTGGAAGTTAAATATCGACCAACAAAGTCACTTTATAGACAGTGGGAAAATATGTCAAAACATATGTCAATACATCTTCTATGAGTCAGTAAAAAAGATGAAAAAGAGGTAACTGCAGGGGGTAAAACTTTGATAGGATTAGCATATACTTGACAGGAAATGCAGCTTCTCATGCCACTTAGTACAAAGAAAATGCCTGGCTTTAAAAAAAACTTAACAGCTATGTGAAAACTTAACTGATGAAAACGGAAACTGAAAGTAAAAATATCTACAGCATCAATATGTGCAACTTTATATTGTGAGCATTTCTAAGCCACAAGTTTTTTGAAACTTGCTTTAAACTTTTTAAAAATCAGAAAAATTTAGGTCAATTGGAATCAGCATAAGAAATCTCTTGAAAACCATTCTAAATTCCAGTCCCTATAAAATCAGACTCTAGACAATATATCCGGCCAAAGTTACGACTGCCTTCGTGCTTCATACACCGCAGCATGCCCTACTAGAAACCAGTTGCTTTTTCTTCCAGGAGGCACGTTTAACTTTTTTTTTTAAGGCAGTCATACTAAGCACGAAAAGATGAATGAGGCAAGGGGTGACCCCTGGCCTTCTCCTGGTTCAAGTTAGGAGTTTCGGCTCCTTAAGCCTTCTTTACCAAGCACAAACAGGAGCTTCTCGCTTCCGCACCGAGTTAGGACCCAGGGGGAGACTAAGGGGTAGGACAAGTGCCGCCGATGTGCCCAAGTCTAGCTTGGGGAACCACGGCAGGCGCCTGGGTAGGGCAAAAAATCCCCCAGGTCCGGCCAGTCTCGGGTTCCTGGGACGCCCCATGACTGGGCAGAACCCAGGCCGCGCCGCCAGGTGCCCGGCCTGCCCACCATAATTCCGACCCGACGTCCCCCCGTCGCACGGACCTGTCGTACTCAGACCGAGTGAGAAACATGGCGAGGGTAGGAGGAGGCAGCGGCTACGCGGGGATTCTGAGGACCAGCACAACTCCACCGGCACCCAAGTCACCCACACCGCCACAGCACCAAGGACCAACCGCGCGTGCGCCCGCGACCTCTTTAGCCCGCCCTCCAGTGCCTGCTCCTTATTGGCTGATAGTAGTTCCCGCAAAGGTGACTGGGCCAACGCGCTTCCTCGCCAGGGCGTGGTTGGTCCGGAGGAGGAGGAGGAGGACCAGTGAGGTACTTCCGCTTTAAATCGCGGGTGGTTGCTAAGGAAGATTGGAACCCTAGGCGAGTGGTGAGTTCGCATTTTAGAGAAGGTGTGAGCCCGCCCCGAGACTGGCGATTGGAAGAGCTTGCACGCCGAGCTGGGTTGTCTGAACCCTGACTTGATAAGTCCCTCGCCGGCTCCCGTAATCTCAGCTAGAGGATGTTAGTCCCGTTTCCTACACAGCCTGCACCTGCCGCTTCTTCTCAGGATTCCCTCTCTTAGAGCTCCGGCGCGGCCTTCTACGTGCCGGGTCGAGGGCTCCAGGACTTTGGGCGGTAATGGGTCCGCTATTGTGAGTCTGAGCCAGTGCCGCGGGCGAGTCCCTTTAGCTTCAGCCAGTTTGGCTCGTTTATTGAGAAAAGCGGGGGGCGAGGAGTTAGTGTGTAAGAAAGTCTTCAAGTTTCCATATGGTTAAGGTAATTTTACCAACTCTTTCTTGCACCCCTCCCCCAGCACGGTTTCAAACCTGAATAACCTAGAGTTCATGATCCCGACTTCAAAACATTCTCTGCTTTTTCTGTTATTTGTGAAAAATAAGTTTTTTGTGAGCCCAGATCGTGCTATTGCACTCCAGCCTGGGCAACAGCCAAACCCTATCCAAAAAAAAAAAAAAAAACGCTCTTTTTCGGCGCTACTTTCTTCCCTTCAGTAAGGGCCGAGGAGCAACTTCACAGCTTTTTAACACTGTAATTGAAGTATTTGTTCAAGAAAGGCAAGAAGTCTTGGCGCGGAAGTGGGGGACATAGGGAAATTGTTGGTCGAATGATACAAAGTTTCAGTTTGACAAGGTGAATGAGTTCTGTAGTTAATCATGTATTGTGTGCTTGAAATTGCGAAGAAGGTACACCTTAAATGCACTTACCACAGGAAAGTAAGTATGTGAGATGATGGGTATGTTGATTAGCTCGATTTAATTATTTGCAGTGTGTGTATATATAAATATATATCAAAACGTCACATTGTATACCATAAACATGAACAATTTATATTTGTCACTTATACCTTAATAAAGCTGGAAAGAAGTCGTTTATCAGGCAGTATATGCCTGAAAGGGAAATGGCAGCATCTCATTTCCAGCTATTAATACCATTAGTTAAGTCCTTAACCTCTCAAGGCCTGTATCTCTCCAGTAAAGTTCATTCTTGGTCCTAGATTAGGTTTGTAGGTCACCGAGGCATTTCAAAAGTAAAGGAAATGTAAAAATAGGCTTTTTGGGTATTAACCAACATCTGTTTTCCCACCTTTTATTTTCTGACTTCCTTCATAAATTCAGTAGGAACTTAGTTTGGTCATCCCTGGCCAATCAGGTGTTTAGCACTAAAAAACTGAGGAAAAATTCCAAGTGGCAATCCTCAGGGATCTGTTAGATTTCTAAGAAAAGAATAGTAATCTTTAGCTTTCTTGTCAGCTCCCTCCCCCTACCCCCACCCGCGGCTTGTCAGTTGCTTTCTATTGAAAAGTCTTGGTCATAAATTCACTACAGCTCCTCTTTAGAAGTTCTTTTACTACGTAGATACTTGAGTAAAATATTTCCTGAGCACCTAGGGATGCGCGGTGCTCTGCAGCCCCTACCAGTGTCAGAGGCAGTAATGAATGGCTTACAAAATGTTCTTGAATGCAGAATCTCCTCTGGGTAAATGTGTTTGTGCTATATATAACATAAATGAAGGGGCGCCACAGGTAATTGTGAGTAGAAAGGAAAATCTTTTCTCCCAAGAGAGTGCATTGTTGTAAAAATCTAGCAGCTAGCTTAATGTCTCTTTGAAAGAAATAAAATGAGAAATTAGCTATTTAAAAGTAATTGAAGTTAAACAAAATGTGTATATATGCAGAGGATTATTATTCCCCCTTTAAAAAGTAAATTTTGATTCATGCTACACCTTGGATGAGACTTGAAGCCCTTATGCTAAGCGAAATCTCAGACACACAAATATTGTATGATTCTACTTATATAAGGTACCTAGAATAGTCAAATTCATAGAGACAGAAAGTAGAATAGTTGTTATCTAGGGCTGGAGGAAGAAGGGAATGAGAAGTTAATGGGTTTAATGGGTACAGCATTTCAGTTTGGGATGATGAAGAAGTTCTGGAGATGGATTGTGATGATGGTTACACAACAGTGTGAACGTACTTAATATCACACTTAAAAATGGTTAAAATGTCAGCCAGGCACAGTGGCTCACACCTGTAATCCTAGCACTTTGGGAGACTGAGGTGGGCGAATCAGGAGGTCAGGAGTTTGAGACCAGCCTGGCTGATATGGTGAAACCCTGTCTCTACTAAAAATACAAAAATTAGTCGGGCATGGTGGTGGGCACCTATGGGCCCAGGTACTTAGAAGGCTGAGGCAGGAGAATTGCTTGAACCTGGGAGGTGGAGGTTGCAGTGAGCCAAGATTGTACCACTGCACTCTAGCCTGGGTGACAGAGCAAGACTCTGTCGCAAAAAAAAAAAAAAAGTAGAAATGGTAACTTTTATGTCAGGATATTTCACCACAATAGAAATAATTTTTTAAGTTAAAAGGGGGAAAAGGAAGATACTGGAAGTGTAAGTTCTTTGAGGGTCAGTACTCTGTCTTGTTTAGCCTAGCACCTGGTATATAGTAGATGTTCTAGATACATTTGTTTAGTAAATACGTATTTATTTATTTATTTAACTTTTATTTTAAGTTCAGGGTACATGTGCAGGATGTGCAGATTTATTATATAGCTAATTGTGTGCCATGGGGATCTGCTGTACAGACCATTTCATCACCCAGGTATCAAGCTTAGTCTCCACTAGTCATTTCTCCTGATCCCTTCCCTTTTCCCACCCTCTGCCCTCCAGTAGACCCTAGTATTCATTGTTTCCCTCCATGTGTCCATGTATTCTCATCATTCAGTTCCCAGTTCCAAGTGAGAACATGTGGTATTTGGTTTTCTGCTTCTACATTGGTTTGTTAAGGCTAATGGCCTCCAGGTGAGTATTTATCGATTGCTATAAACATAGTAAATAGACATTAATATATGTGTGACTTGGAAAAGTAGAGTAAGTAGAAAATTCAGAATTTCAAATAGCCACTTTAAAATGTTTTTAAGTACTTTTTAAAAATTTTTAAAGAAAATAGACAAAAGCTTGTTGGTCACACCTTTTTAGGTAAAATATTGATACTGAGAGATGAGAAGGACTGTTCCTCATTGGAGAAACATAGTTATTCAGACATTAATAAAATTCTACATTCACCATACAGTGAGAGTTCTCAAATATTTTGGTACTATTTTGCACATTGTTTCCAAAGAAAGGAAGATTATCCCTTAATTGAAAGCTGCCATAATTATTTTACAGATGAAATAAATTATACTGCAATAAAGATACTTTTTCAACTATAGATAGAAGCTCTGTTATTCTACTGGAAGTAAATGAAGTAGTTTGGTAAAGTTGATAGCCCAATAAATGTTGAAAATATATTCGTTAGCAAACATCATATATGAATACATTGTGTCAGACATTCCTGGGTAAGGCAGAAAATATGTGGAGAACTTAAAAAGTGATTCCAAATAAATTTAGGATTCTTTGCTCTTTCTAACTATTATGTTCCCCAAATCCATTTATCCACATTTATCTCTAGTAACTGCAGTTCGTTTACATAAAAAGACATTTTAGATTTGGCTGCTTCATTGTGTATGAATTTTTACTTCAATCATTTTGTAGAGTATTTTTAAATAACAATTTTTTTTTTAGAAAAAAAGAAAAGAATTTAACAAAAAGAATAAAAGAGAAAGAAAGAGGAAGAGAAAGAGGGAGAGAGAACAGGAGTGTTGCTTTATTGCCCAGGCTAGAATGCAGTCTAAAAATGGGTATTGAAAACCTCTTTTATGCCAATAATTGTGCTTAACAATGGAGACAGGAAGGAATAAGGGAGGAAAATAACAAGCAGCCAACCAATATTTCATTTAAATCTGTGAAATGCTATGCAATTACTGAGGAGTGATTTACTTCTAATTATGTAGTCTCTTTTAGAGTAGGTGTTATGTGGTACTGATAAGAATGTATGTTTTGTGTATTTGGGGTGGAGAGTTCTATAAATGTTTATTAAGTTTACTTGTTCCGAGTCTGAGTTCAAGTCCTGGATATCCTTGTTAATTTTCTATCTCGTTGATCTGTCTAATATTGACAATATGATGTTAAAGTCTCCCACTATTATTGTGTGGGAGTCTAAGTCTCTTTATAAGTCATTAAGAACTTGTCTTATGTATCTGGGTGCTCCTGTATTGGGTGTGTATGTATTTAAGATCGTTAGCTCTTCTTGTTGCATTGATCCTTTTACTATTATGTAATGTCCTTCTTTACCTCTTTTGATCTTTGTTGCTTTAAAGTCTATTTTATCAGAGGCGAGAATTGCAACTTCTGTTATTTATTTATTTATTTATTTTTGCTCTCCATTTGGTTGGTAAATCTTCCTCCATCCATTTGTTTTGAGTCTTTGTGTATCCTTGCATGTGAGATGGGTCTGGATGCAGCATACCAATGGGTTTTGGCTTTTTATCCAATTTGCCTGTCTGTGTCTTTCGATTGGGGGATTTAGTTGATTTTTTTTTTTTATTAGCTAAAGTCTATGCTTATTCCCTTCGTTTTTACCTAATATCCTTTTTCTGTTGCAAGATTCCATCCAGGATACCTTGTTACATTTAGTTGTCTTTTTCTCCTTAAGCTCCTGAAATTGTGATAGTGTCTCAGACTTTTTTTGTTTTTGATGTCCCTGAAAGTTTTGAGCTCATAGGTCTTTTTGATATTTATTCTCTGTATATTGCTTAGCAGAGTATCACAACAAATATTAATTTGAATTAAATAATATATATAATTGGTGAAAATCAAATCATGTTTGAAGTAGCTACATGGAAGGATGATCAAGTTATCACTGAAACTTCTTTGAGCAGCTTTTGTTGTGTATTGCTTATTTTCTGACATTGATTAAATATCAGATATGGAGTTCCTGGCTTTCATTAAAATGATGATTTTCTTTTTTTTAATTGCATTTTAGGTTTTGGGGTACATGTGCAGAACATGCAAGATAGTTGCACAGGTACACACGTGGCAGTGTGATTTGCTGTCTTCCTCCCCTTCACCCACATCTGGCATTTCTCCCCATGCTATCCTTCCCCAGCTCCCCGCCCCGCTGTCCCTCCCCTATTCCCCCCAATAGACCCCAGTGTGCAGTGCTCCCTCCCTGTGTCCATGTGTTCTCATTGTTCATCACCCGCCTATGAGTGAGAATATGTGGTATTTCATTTTCTGTTCTGGTGTCAGTTTGCTGAGAATGATGTTCTCCAGATTCATCCATGTCCCTACAAAGGACACAGACTCATTGTTTTTGATCGCTGCATAATATTCCATGGTGTATATGTGCTACATTTTCCCAGTCCAGTCTATCATCGATGGGCATTTGGGTTGGTTCCAGGTCTTTGCTATTGTAAACAGTGCTGCAGTGAACATTCGTGTGCATGTGTCCTTATAGTAGAATGATTTATAGTCCTTTGGATATATACCCAGTAATGGGATTGCTGGGTCAAATGGAATTTCTATTTCTAGGTCCTTGAGGAATCGCCACACTGTCTTCCACAATGGTTGAACTAATTTACACTCCCACCAGCAGTGTAAAAGTGTTCCTATTTCTCCACATCCTCTCCAGCATCTGTTGTCTCCAGATTTTTTAATGATCGCCATTCTAACTGGCGTGAGATGGTATCTCATTGTAGTTTTGATTTGCATTTCTCTGATGACCAGTGATGATGAGCATTTTTTCATATGTTTGTTGGCCTCATGTGTGTCTTCTTTTGTAAAGTGTCTGTTCATATCCTTTGCCCATTTTGGAATGGGCTTGTTTTTTTCTTGTAAATCTGTTTGAGTTCTTTGTAAATTCTGGATATCAGCCCTTTGTCAGATGGGTAAACTGCAAAAATTTTTTCCCATTCTGTTGGTTGCCGATTAACTCTAGTGACTGTTTCTTTTGCTGTGCAGAAGCTGTGGAGTTTGATTAGGTCCCATTTGTCTATTTTGGCTTTTGCTGCCTATGCTTTTGGTGTTTTGGTCATGAAGTCCTTTCCTACTCCTATGTCCTGAATGGTTTTGCCTAGATTTTCTTCTAGGGTTTTTATGGTGCCAGGTCTTATGGTTTAAGTCTTTAATCCATCTGGAGTTAATTTTAGTGTAAGGTGTCAGGAAGGGGTTCAGTTTCTGCTTTCTGCACATGGCTAGCCGGTTTTCCTATCACCATTTATTAAACAGGGAATCCTTCTCTCACCACTCCTATTCAATACAGTACTGAAAGTTCTAGCCAGAGCAATCAGGCAAGAAAAAAAAATAAATAAGGGTATTCAAATAGGAAAGGAGGAAGCCAAATTGTCCCTATTTGCAGACGACATGATAGTATATCTAGAAGACCCCATCGTCTCAGCCCAAAAACTCCTGAAACTGATAAGCAACTTCAGCAAAGTCTCAGAATATAAAATCAGTGTGCAAAAATCACAAGCATTCCTATACACCAATAACAGACTTAAAGAGAGCCAAATCAAGAATGAACTGCCATTCACAATTGCTACAAAGAGAATAAAATACCTAGGAATACAACTAACAAGGAATGTAAGGGACCTCTTCAAGGATAACTACAAACCACTGCTCAACGAAATAAGAGAGGACACAAACAGAGGGAGAAACATTCCATGTTCATGGTTAGGAAGAATCAATATCATGAAAATGGCCATACTGCCCAAAGTAATTTACAGTCGATTTAAATTTAGGATTAATAATAACATATGTGAGTTTTATACTGCCATTTGATGCTAGCTGGCTGTTTTGCCCATTAGTTGATGTAAATTCTTCATTATGTTGATGCTCTTTACTTTTTGGTATATTTTTGGAAAGGCTGATACTGGTTGTTCCTTTCTTTGTGTAGTGCTTCTTTCAGAAGCTCTTGTAAAGCAGGCCTGGTGGTGATGAAATCTCTAAGTACTTGCTTGTTCACAAAAGATTTTATTTTTCCTTCACCTGTGAAGCTTAGTTTGGCTGGATATGAAATTCTGGGTTGAAAGTTCTTTTCTTTAAGGATGTTGAATATTGGCCCCCATTCTCTTCTGGCTTGTAGGGTTTCTGCTGAGAGATCTTCTGTGAGTCTGATAGGCTTGCCTTTGTGGGTAACCTGACCTTTCCCTCTGGCTGCCCTTAGCATTTTCTCCTTCATTTCAACCCTGGTGAATCTGAAGATTATGTGCCTTGGGGTTGCTCTTCTTGAGGAATATCTTTTTGGTGTTCTCTGTATTACCTGGAGTTGAGTATTGTCCTGCCTTGCTAGGTTGGGAAAATTTTCCTGAATAATATCCTGAAGAATATTTTCCAGCTTGGATTCATTCTCTTTGTCACATTCAGGTACACCTATCAAATGTAGATTAGGTCTTTTCACATAATCCCATATTTCTTGGAAACTTTGCTTATTCCTTTTTATCATTTTTTCTCTAATCTTGTCTTCTCGTTTTATTTCATTGAATTGGTCTTCGATCTCTGATATCCTTTCTTCTGCTTGATCAATTCGACTGTTAAAACTTGTGCATAACTTCATGAAATTCTTGTGTTGTGTTTTTCCGCTCCATTAATTAATTTATATTCCTCTGTAAGTTGTCTATTCTCATTAGCATTTCAAACCGTTTTTCAAGGTTCTTAGTTTCTTTGCATTGGGTTAGAACATGTTCTTTTAGCTCACAGAAGTTTCTTATTATCCACCTTCTGAAGCCTGATTCTGACAATTTATCACAATCATTCTCCATCAGGCCTTGTTCCCTTGCTGATGAGGAGCTACGATCCCCTGAAGGAGGATAGGCATTCTGATTTTGGATGTTTTCAGCCTTTTTGCACTGGTTTCTTCCCATCTTTGTAGATTTATCCACCTGTCATCTTTGTAATTGCTGACTTTCAGATTGGGTCTCTGAGTGGACGTCTAGTTTGTTGGTGGTGATGTTATTTTAGATAACAAAGGTTTTTACCTCAAGGATATAGAGAGGTTTAGCTAGCTTTGATTCTTGCAAGACCTTAAAGAAACAGAAATTGAAGAGTTCTGGCCAGTGACTGAACATGGCAAGAGTACTAATGCAGGCCCATTGCTGCATAATTTGGGACTACTCTAATGGGAAACTTTGGCTTATAGACTACACATCAGCCTAGTTGAAACTTTCTTAGAACTGCATTGCAGTCTGAGACCCTGCCTGTGCAATCCTTTCTTTTCTGTCTCCTTCATAGGTGCCAGACTTATATTACAGTCTGGAGCATATCCCACCTTCTCCTGCTCTCATCCCTTTTATCCTTCATAGACGTTTCTTCCCATAAATTTCTTATATGTTGTCATGGGCTGAATTGTGTCTTCTCCAAAATTCAGTTGTTAAAGCCTTAACCCCAATATCTCAGAATGTGATTGTAGCTAGGACCTTTAAGGAAGTGCTCAAGTTCAATGAGACTGTTAGGGTGGGCCCTAATCCAGTCCTGACTGGTGGCATTATAAGAAGAGGAAATTTGGATACACAGAGAGACATCAGGCAGGTGCGCACAAGAGAAAAGGCCATGTGAAGGCACAACAAGAAGGTGACCATCTGCAAACCAAGGAGAGAGACTTCAGAAGAAGCCAGACCTGCTGACACGTTGATCTTGGACCACTAGCCTCCAGAATGTGAGGAAATACATTTCTGTTGTTTAAACCACTCAGTCTGTGGTATTTTGTTATGGCAGCCCTAGGAAACTAATACACATGTCAAATCTCGCTTTGGCTTTTCCTTCTCAGAGGACCCATACTAGCACAGGTGGCACTAGGGGAGATCCAGGAAGACATAAGATGGGGCTTCAAGACTGACTCACTCACTACTTGTTGGGCAAAGAAGATGCCATCCTGTACAGTATAGGAGCACAGTATAGGTAGTTCCTAGCACAAGGTGGTGATCTAGTTGCTAAAGATTTTCGTAAATGGTCACCTGGGAAGAAATCCCAGTGAGGTTAAGTTAAAGACCCCGCTGATTCAATTTCAGGCATTTGAAATATATAGGGGAACAATGCCTACAAGGACAATGAAGATGGCTGGATGCTGCTAAGTTGTGACATCCAGAAAAGGGATGAGAAAACAAAGGTTCCACTGGGTTAATAGCCAAATATGAAAGACAGAGGGTCTCTTTAGTAGCCTACAAAAAATTACTTATTTTCTGTAGTGGAAAAGCTAACACAGATGAGTGACAGACTTCAAACATGATAGAGTCACAAAGTTTCAGACACACTTAAATGTGCAGCCAAAGCAGGTCAGGGTCCTTATTGGGAAAGCCCGAGACTGAAACAAGGATGGAACATCTGGATAGACATTTGTATGGATGTTTGCTCTGCAGACCTCTGTGTACTTTCAAAACTTGCAGAGGTGATCTGTCTCTCCGTATTAAGAGGTAGTACTTCCCCCCAAACTGAAAGACGCTGCAGAGCTACTCTCCCACAAAGAAACACAGGAGTTGTCCCAACTTCCTCTCCTATCCTCTCCAGGCCAATAGATAGTGGTAAATACTAGCATAACCCAGTTGGGAACATGCTGGGCCTGACAAAGGAGGAAAGACACTAAGAATTAGCATATGCAGACAAGCCAGGGGAGTACTCGAGGATTGGATTTTGAGGCGCTTGATCAAGGGGACTGAAATATAAAACAATAATCAAGATTCATTGACTTGGGGGCACTTCTTGAGAGACAGGATTTAACACCCTAGCAAAACGTCAGAAATGAAACAGTCACTTTTGAGGAATTCTTAGAAATCTGGAGCAAGTGATGGACAATGCTGAGCAAAGTAAAAATGGTTTACCCTTGCTGTGACATGGTAAAAGCCCCATAAAACTGCGTACGTCAACCATACCTTGGCTTTGTATTGAAACTGCTCTCTGTAACCCAAATGTGACAGGCAAGCAGTCCAAACCCATGCCATCTTGGCCCCTGCAACTTGTAATAAGTAACCTAACCCCCGAGGTGATTTTAGGGTCTTGACACCCTCCTTTCGGGGCCACAGGTTGGAGACGTGAGTCCTCCGTGGCCACCTGCAATAAAGACCCTGCAATTTGGCATACTTTTGTCTTGGTGTTGACTTTCTATGCTCGGGCCAGTACAACACTGGCATATGGTAGAATGAATTTAAAAATTCATTCTTCTATCATATGGGTGAACTGAGTGTTTACAATTGATGTATTAAGTGAGAGCAGAAGACCCCTTAGAGGATTATGTTCCACAGAAAGGTCCAGAAGACACCATTCACCAAGGCCATCAAAAGTGCTCAGTTAAGAGGAAAAACAGCATTACCAAAGAGTGTTCTGCAATCCTGGGCTGACAGTTGGAGAAGAGCTGTCACAGAATTGGGGCTTATTAATAACTATGACAATTATATCACCCCAACTCCCAAGTAATGGAGTCCAGATGCTGGTGCTTAGTCATCAGAATCCAGAAGGTTCAATTACCAGTAAGAGCAGCAAGATCTGGGAAGAGTAGCACAGTAGAAATGTCTGAATTTTTGTGATGTGTGGTAGGGGCTATTCCCTACTTTAGTTATATATTTCAGTAGACTCTATTGTATTGTAGCTGTCAGGCATGGAAAGATGTAGTCTGGAGTTTGTGATGATTAATTTTTTATCAACTCCACTATAGGGTATCCAGATATTTGATCAAATATTGTGGGTTTGTTTGTGAGGGCGTTTCTGGATAAGGTTAACATTTGAATTAGTAGACTGAGCAAAACAGATTGCCCTCCCAATTGTGAGTAAGCCTCATCTAATCAATTGAAGACCTGAATAGAATAAAAAAGCTAAGTAAGAGGGAACTCCTACCTGACTGCTTGAGCTGAGACATTGGTCGTTTCTGGCCTTTGGACTGGGACTGGAACATCAGCTCTTCTTGGATCTCAAGCCTACTAACTTCCAGACTTTAATTGGGCAGAAGTCAATGGTCTGGACCTCTGATAGGGGGTCTGGAAGGCAAAGGACTGGAAAATCAAAGACAAGGAGGTCTGGGATAGAGTCAGGTGAATGACTATGCAGAAGTAGGCATGAGGTGTGAAGTTTTTATATCATGTATTTACAAGAGAAGAGGCATTAAACAAGTAGGCAAAATGAGTCAGTTGACATTACTAGGCTTAATCATTGGCCATCTTGGAACCAGCATGATGGGCACTGTTATGGGCTAAATTGCTGTATTAGTATGTTCACACACTGTTTATTAGACATACCTGAGACTGGGTAATTTATAAAGGAAAGAGGTTTAATGGACTTACAGTTCCACATGGCTGGGAGGCCTCATAACCATGGTGGAAGGCAAAGGAGAAGCAAAAGCATGCCTTACATGGTGACAGGCAAGAGAGTGTGTGCAGAGGAACTAAACCATCGGACCTTGTGAGACTTACTCACTATCACAAGACTTACTATCATAGGAAAGACCCACCCCCATGAATCAATTACCTCTCACCAGGTCCCTTCCACAACACATGAGAATTATGGGAGCAAAATTCAAGATGAGATTTGGGTGGGTTCACAGCCAAACCATATCATTCTGCCCCGGCCCCTCCAAAATTTTATGTCCTCACATTTCAAAACCAATCATGCCTTCCCAGTAGTCCTCCAAAGTCTTAACTCATTTCAGTATTTACTCAGAAGTCCACAGTCCAAAGTCTCATCTGAGACAAGGCAAGTCCCTTCCACCTATAAGCCTGTAAAATCAAAAGCAAGTTAGTTATTTCCTAGACACAATGGGAGTACAGGCATTGGGTAAATACACCGGTTCCAAGTGGGATAAATTGGCCAAAACAAAGGGGCTACAGCCGTCATGCAAGTCAGAAATCCAGCAGGGCAGTCAAATCTTAAAGCTCCAAAATAATCTCCTTTGGCTCCTTATCTCATATCCAGGGCATTATGATGCAGGAGGTAGGCTCACACAACCTTGGGCAGCTCTGCCCCTGTGGCTTTGCAGGGTACAGCCCTGCTCCTGGCTGCTTTCACGGGCTGGCATTGAGTGTCTGCGACTTTTCCAGGCACACAGTGCAAGTTGTCAGTGGATCTACCATTCTAGGATCTGGAGGATGGTGGCCTTCTCACAACTCCACTAGGCAGTGCCCCAGTGGGGACTCTGTGTGGGTGCTCTGACTCCACATTTCCCTTCTGCACTGCCCTAGCAGAGGTTCTCCATGAGGTACCTGTCCCTGCAGCAGACTTCTGCCTGAATATCCAGGTGTTTCCATATATCTGAAATCTAGGCAGATCAGGCTCAACACCATGTGGAAGCTGCCAAGGCTTGGGGCTTGCACCCTCTGAAGCAATGGCCTGAGCTCTATATTGGCCCCTTTTAGCCACAGCTCGGACACAAGATACAAAGTCCCAAGACTACACAAAGCAGCAAGGGCTTGGACCTGGCCCATGAAACCATTTTTTCCTCCTGGGCCTCCAGGCCTGTGATGAGAGAGGCTGAGAGAAGACCTCTGATGTTCCCTGGAGACATTTTCCTCATTGTCTTGGTGATTAACATTAGGCTTCTTGTTACTTACGCAAATTTCTGCAGCCAGATTGAATTTCTCCTCAGAAAATGCGTTTTTCTTTTCTATTGCATCATCAGGCTGTACATTTTCTGAACTTTCATGCTCTGTGTCCTCTTGAAAGGAGAGCATGAAAGTTCAGAAAATGTTAGAAATTTGTTCTGCCAGATACCTAAGTCATCTCTCTCAAGTTCAAAGTTCCACAGCTCTCTGGGGTAGGGGCAAAATACTGCCAGTCTCTTTGCATAGCAAGAGTGACCTTTACTCCAGTTCCCAACAAGTTTTGCCATCTGAGACTACCTCATCCTGGACTTTATTGTTCATATCATTATCAACATTTGGTTGATAATTCTACAAGTTTCTAGGAAGTTCCAAACTTTCCCACATCTTCCTGTCATCTGAGCCCTCCAAGTCTCTAGGAAGTTCCAAATTTCCCATATTTTCCTGTCTTCTTCTAAGCCCGGAAGTTCCAAACTTTCCCACATCTTCCTGTCATCTGAGCCCTCCAAGTCTCTAGGAAGTTCCAAATTTCCCATATTTTCCTGTCTTCTAAGCCCTCCAAACTCTTCCGCCCACTGCCTGTTACCCAGTTCCAAAGTCAATTCCACATTTTTGAGTATCTACAGCAACACCCCACTCTACCAGTACCAATTTACTGTATTAGTCTGTTCTCATGCTGCCAATAAAGACATACCATGTCTTAGGTAATTTATAAAGGAAAGATTTAATAAGAGGTTTAATGGATTCACAGTTCCACCTGGCCGGGGAGGCCTGCCAATCATGGCAGAAGGCAAAGGAGAAGCAAAAGCATGTCTTACATGGCAGCAGGCAAGAGGGCATTTGCAGGAGAACTCCCCTTTATAAAACCATCAGACCTCGTGAGACTTATTCACTATCATGGGAAAGACCCACCCCCATGATTCAACTACCTCCCACCAGGGCCTTCCCACCACACATGGGATTTATGGGAGTGACAATTCAAGATGAGATTTGGGTGGAGACACAACCAAATCATATCAGTTTCCCCTACTCAATTCATACATGGAAGACCTAAACTCCAATAGCTCAGATTGACATTCAGAAACTGGATTGTTGCACATATAATTAATTAATAAAGATGAGTTTATACTGGAAGGGGTAGACCCCTAATTCACTCTGACTAGTGTTCTTTTGAGCAGGTGGCCATGTGAAGACAGAGATACACAGGGTGGACACCATGTGAAAATGAAGGCAGAGCTGGCACAGTGGCTCACGCCTTGTAATCCCAGCACTTTGGAAGGCTGAGGCGGGTGGATCACCTGAGGTCAGGAGTTTGAGACCACCCTGACCAACCTGGAGAAACCCTGTCTCTACTAAAAATACAAAAATTGGCATGGTGGCACATGCCTGTAATCCCAGCTACTTGGGAAGCTGAGGAAGGAGAATTGCTTGAACCCAGGAGACAGAGGTTGAGGTTAGCTGAGATCGCACCATTGCACTCCAGCCTGGGCAGTGACAGTGAAACTCCATCTCAAAAAAAAAAAAAGTGAAGGCAGAGATCAGGGTGATAGAGCAGAATCTAAGAGGCATGGCACAGATTCTCATTCATAACCCTCAGAGGGAACCAACCTTGCTGACACCATGATCTCAGACTTCTAGCCTCAGAACTATGAGACGATACATTTGTTTAAGCCACCACATTTGTGGTACTTTGTTATGGCAGCCCTAGGTAACCAATACCATCACATAAATGGACTGGCCACAGTGGCAGGGATAGAGGCTATATATGGGCTCCAACTTTCCAAGGTTGATCTAGCTACTGATGATCTTTACTGTTAGCATCAAAGACTAATGCAGAGTCCCCAATATGTCACTAATACTCAAGGAGATCAACTGGCTGCTTGGTGACAAGTTGACAACATTAGGTCTCTTCTACTTCTGAGGGACTTAACAGTTCATTCTCACAGTGATGGATATCTAATCTGGGTACGGGTTTTCTTTTCCTTCCCACAGGTTCTCAGCCAGGGTTTAAAATATGGAGTTTAAAATACGGGTTTAAAGTATGGGAGTTTACAAAATGAATGCCTGATCCACAAGCATAAACTCTTACGTAACATGGCATCCAACCAGGCGACTTGTTTCATGGTAAAAGAGGAGCGAGAGTGGGCCTGTGGCCATGGCATCCCTGATCATACCATACCATCCAGAAAAATCTGGCATTTTAAAGGATTGGGATGACTTTTTTTTTTTTTTTTTTTGAGGCAGGCTCACACTCACCCAGGCTGGAGTGCAGTGGTACAATCTCAGCTCACTGTAGCCTTGACCTCTCAGGCTCAAGCCATCTTCCCACTTCAGCCTCATGAGTAGCTGGGACTATGGGCATGTGCCACCACACCCAGCTAATTTTTTTTTTTTTTTGAGACGGAGTTTCGCTCTTGTTACCCAGGCGGGAGTGCAATGGCGTGATCTCGGCTCACCGCAACCTCCGCCTCCTGGATTCAGGCAATTCTCCTGCCTCAGCCTCCTGAGTAGCTGGGATTACAGGCACGTGCCACCATGCCCAGCTAATTTTTTGTATTTTTAGTAGAGACGGGGTTTCACCATGTTGACCAGGATGGTCTCAATCTGTTGACCTCGTGATCCACCCACCTCAGCCTCCCAAAGTGCTGGGATTACAGGCGTGAGCCACCGCGCCCGGCCACCCAGCTAATTTTTAAAAAAATTTGTAGAGACAAACCCTCACTATGTTGTACAGGCTGGTCTTTAACTCATGGGCTCAAGTGATCCCCTGCCTCAGCCTCCCAAAATGCTGTGATTACGGACATGAGCCATCGCACCCAGCCTGGAGTGACTTTGTAAAGGCACAGGTGGCATTCCACTCAGAGGCAACACAAAGAATTGTATGTTATCATTCTGGATTTGTTATACACATTAAATCAGAGGCCTTGTGATTCTGTCATAGTTTTTTTTCTGTTGCTATAACAGAAAACCACAGACTAGGTAGTTTAAAAAGAAAAGAACATGATTTCTTATAGTCTAGAGGCCAGGAGGTCAAAAGAATATGGTGCTGCCATCTGGTGAGGGCCTTCTTGTTGTGTCATAACATGACGGAGAGCATCTCATGATGAGAGGGCAAGAGCATGTGTGTCAACTCAGGTCTCTCTACCTCTTCTTTCAAAGCTACCAGTCCCATTATGGGGGCCCCATCCTGATAACTTTATCTAATTCTAATTACCTCCCAAAAGCCTCAGCTCCAGATGTCATCAACATATGGAATATAGAAATTAAGTTTTTAATACATGAAATTTGGAGGACACGTTCAAACCACAGCAGGTCCTAACAAGAAAAATACTTGGGTCCACTAGCCAAAGAGTAGAGGTAGGAATTGCCCTACTTTTCTTTACTACCAATTACCCAGTAGAAGACTTTGTGCTTCCCATACTCACAAATGTGGGATCCGTAGGGCTGGAGGTCCTAGTCCCCAAGAGGTCCTAGTCCCCAAAGGGAGGACAGCAGGGGTCCCATTGAACTACAAGCTATGGCTGCTGTTGGGCATTTTGGACTCCTTATGTCCAGAGACCAGAAGGCAAAAAGAGGAGTCACCATCATGGAGTAATTGACCTTGATCAGTAAGAGGAAGTAGTGCTGCTTTTTACAGAGCCCATGTAATCCCACTTGAGCATCTCCTGATACTTCCTTGCTCCATGTAGCTGAATGAACACATGTAGCAAATCTGGCCTGAGAAGAGTATGGTTACTAGAAGCCCAGACCACCACATAAACCACCAAGATCTGCTAAGGTGATAATGGATGGTGAGGGGCACTTGGAGTAGATGGTGGAGGAGAGAGAGGATCAGTATCAACTGTGGCCCCCAGACAGGTTGCTGTAGTTTATCACATTAATCTTCCTCTTCAAGTTTTCCTTTAGCAAGAAAGGCCCATGGGAACCGTAGAAAAGTTTCTTCCCAAACCTGTTTGAAAAAGATCTGTTTTCTCAAAGAGTGGGCTGTGGTGCTTCTGAAAGTGGGCCTCTCAGATTTCCTGCTATGGGAGAATAGTTAATTGATGACCCCTACCGCTGACCTTCTGGATTAACCAATGTGTTTGCTGCTGAGGCCATGCTTCTTAGGAACTATTCTTAGCCAGTGACTAAGCATGGTGGGGCACTAATACAGGCTCATTGGGACTTCTCTAATGAGTCACTTTGGTTCAAAGCTCAGAGGGAAGTTTAGAGAAACAGCAAATTTAATGCAAGGAAAATAAAGGAAAGGAAATAAAGATAATATCAGAAATCCATGAAACAGAATGCAGGTATCCAAGAGAGAAAATCAATGAAGCCAAAACTTAACAATTTTCTAAAAGAGTAATAAAAGTACATCGACTCCTAGCAAGGTTAATAAAGAAGCACAAAGTCTTCTACTGGGTAACACATTACCAATATCAGCAATTAAAGGGGACATCACTATAGGTCCTATAGATATTAACAAATACAGGAGGATATTATAAACAATCTTATACCATTAGAGTTGACAATTAAGAAGAAATGGAAAATTTTAGTGAAAAACAAAACCTACCAAGTCCAAAACCAGAATAAATAAATTTTATATTTTAGAAGGATTGAATTCATAATTCAAACCTTTCTACAAAAAAAACTCCAGATGGCTTCACTAGGGAATTCTTTCCAAGATATATACTGCTTTTAGAAAGGCATAAAAGACATATTCATACTTTCTAATGCTTGTATATTACATACTCTATTTGTGGCTTAACTTCCCCCTGCTTCCATGCATCATTCATTGAGCACCTACTGTGTTTCAGGGCATGATGGTAAGTGTTACAAATGCAAAGATGATAAAGGATTTTCTGATTGGAAGAGGGACTTTTAGGTTGATGGAAGAAGTAGATATAATAATGTAAATGCAGCAAAATATGTGCTAATGATGATATGTATAAAGTGCTGTGAGAGATGGTGCTGAATCCAGGGAAGGGAAGGCTTTCCAGGCATGAGGGGTGAAACAATATTGCATGTGGTATGGGCATAAAAATGACTAGAAAATAAACAACATTCCTTCTCAGTCTTCCTTATTGAATCTTCTCCTGATACTTCCTTAATTTTTTTTTGAGTCTTCAAGTCCTGTCCTTGGTTTCTGTTTTGACTTTTCCCAAGCAGTTTTCTCTATTCTCACATTTGCCCCTTTCATATACAAGTTAATCATTCCAAAATCTATGTCTCCAGCCTCCACCTCTCTATTGAGCTCCAGGGCCACATATCCAAATATCTGAACTCACCTACTCAAGAATTTTGCCCTCACACTATGCCATCTCCTGCATCACCAACTTCCCTCCCTTGAAAAATCCTTCCCTTGATTGCATGTGTCTCTCCAGCTACTACATCATTTCTCTGCTCCTCTTTGTGTAGTGAAACTTCTCACATTCTTTGTTAAAAGTGAGGATTTTATTCCTATTACTTTTCTGAGACTGTGCTTATCAAGGTCACCAATAATCTTCATGTTGCCTAATTCAGTTCTTAACCTACTTGACTAAATGGCAGCATTTGACCAGTTGATCATTTTCTCTTTCTTGAAGGACTGTCTTTACCTGGCTTCCACCCTATACCGATTTTCTTCTCACCTCAGTGGCCACTCCTCAATCTCTTCATTGGGTCCTCTTTCTTTTCTCAACCTTTAATTATAACTGATTCTAGTGTTTCATCCCCAGACTTCTACCAAATTTTTTCTTTTACTCATTTCTTAGAAAATCTTAACTAAGTCTTTCATTTTAAATATCATCTATATGTTAGTGATTACAAAAAATGTATATCTCCAACCTCTCCCCTGAACTTCAGACTCATATCTTCACTGGCTATTCCACTTGGATGTCTAATAGTATTCCACACTAAATGTGTCCAAACCAAGCCTTTGATTCCTTGCTGCCCAAACCTTCAGTCTTCGCCATACCAGTAAATAGTTCAACCATCCACCCTGTTGCTCAGGCCAGAAATGTTGGGATCATCATTGACTCCTCTCTGTTTCTAATACCTTCGTTTGATCCACTAGCACATCCATCATCCTGCCTTCAAAATATATTCCAAATCTGACTGACCAGTTCTTACCACCTTGATCACTACTACTCTCACCCAAACCACCATCATCTCTCACCTAGATTCCTTCCTCCTAACTGTCTATCCTACTTCCACTCTTCCCAACTATATTCTGAATGATTCTTTTACAGTGTAAGTTAGGATATGCCACTCGTCTGTTCAGAACTCTCCAGTGATTCATGTCACATTTAAAATACAATCTAAAATTCTTTCCACAATCCGTGAGGCCTTCATGATCTGGCCTCTTGCTACATTCTGACCTTATGTACTTCCTTTCTCCCCTGCCTTTTTTTGTATGTCAGCCATACTGGCTTCATTGATGTTTCTCAAACATATGCCAAGCACATTGCTGCCTCTGGATCTTTATACTTGTTTACTTTAAAAATACTGGTTCCACAGATACTCTTATGGCCCAGTTCCTCACATCATTCAGGTCTCTGTTCAAATGTTACCTCCTCAGGGGGACCACCCTATCTAAAATAATTCTTTGATTTGCTGTGCTTTTACTCTTTTTTCCCCTAGCTTATAACTCTACAGGAGTTATTTCAGGTATGCATCTGTTTATTGAATATTATCTACCTCCCATATTAGAATGTAAGTTCCATAAAGGCAAGGAATTTATCCATTTTGTTCAGTCACCCAGTCCTGTCTATCCTGCTTCTTTAAAATATCTTCAAGGTGGGTATGGTATTATCCCAACATTTTGGGAGGCTGAGGTGGAGGATCACTTGAGCCCAGGAGTTTGGGAACAGCCTGGGCACATAGTGAGACCCTGTCTCTACAAAAAAGTGAAATTTAAAAAAAATCTTCAATTCATCTTCTTTCCATTCCTACTACCTCTGCCTTAATTCAGTTGCCACCACCACTTGCTTGCACTGTTATCAAATTCTTCTACTTGACTTTGCACCTTTGCTTTCTTCTATCCAGGCCATTCTCCCACACTCCTACAAATTTGATAGCACTGTAGTTGATATCTGTTCATGCCTCTCCCCTACATAAAACCCTTTGTAGGGGATACCCTCTTTGAATATTAAAGTCAGTCCTTTAACACAGCATCCAAGGCATTTCTAGCCACTAATTCTGCCACCTTCTAGCCTTTTCTCTCTAGCAGTCCAAAATGCTTATACCTCATGTGTTTCTTGCCTCTGTCCTTGGAACATGCTGGTTCTTTTGTACTTAAATGCCCTTTCCTGACTCTCACAAAGATAAATATACCTCCTTTGACCATCCTTCTATTGCATTTATTATATGGTGCTTGATTTAAAAAAAAAATACTTACATGAATGTCCCATATTACACTGTGAGCTTCTTAAAGGGAGAGGATTGTGTCTTATTTAGGGCACAGCTCCTGTCACACAGTCAGGGACAGATGGAGATGGAAGTAAGGCACAGGAAGTGTTCAAAGTAGAAGGAACTGTATGTATCAACACTCTGAAGCATGAAGGAACTTGCTTCATCTTTAGGAAAGAGAGGAGGCGAGTGTGACTAGAGACCAGTGAATGAGGGGCAGAATAACAGGAGAGCAAACTAGAAAGACTGTGGGAATTAGATCATTGCAAGGCCTTATTAGCCATGCTAAGGATCTTGAACATTATCCCAAGAGAAATGGGAAGCCTTTGAAAGGTTTTAAGTAGAATGGCAAAATAAGATTTGCATTAAAAAGTCATGATGGCTGCTCTGTAAAGAATGGATTGCAAGGATACAAGAATGAATTCAGAGACTAGAGAGACATTGTTGCAGTAGTCCAGGCAAAAGGTGATGGCGAGTTGAACTAGAGGTAGCAGTGGGGATGCTGAGAAGTAAATAGATTCAAAATATATCTTGGAGGTAGACTGAGTAGGGCTTAATAACAAAGTGAGGGGTGAAGGAGATAGATTTGCACAACTGAAAGGCTGGTGGAATCCTTTACTGAAATGCAGATATGTCAGAGTAAGGGTCAAAAGAGCAACAGTTAAGTTTTGAGAGGTTAAGTTTGCAATGTCTGAGTGTGAGACATGTAGAGGAATAACACAGTTGAGTATACGAGTGTAGATTTCAGAAGAGAGGTCTGGACTGGAAAAATAATTGGGAGCCATGAGCATACAGGTTTAATGTAAAGCCTTAAGAGTCAATGCCAGAACCTAGAGAGAGACTGTAGCATGAAAAGAAAAGAGGGCATGGCTTATGTGGAACTGAATATAAATTCACTGGATTAGAGGTAATGAGAACATGAAACTGAGAGGCCACAGGGACCTTGAAGTTGCCAAGGAAAATGGTAGAAGTTGAGGGTGAGTAAGGCTGTGAGCAAGGTACTTGCAGGTCTTCAGAAAATGAGGGAAAATGACCAACAGTTTGGAAGATAATTGCATTGGGAGGGGAGAAAAGATGAATAGATAGATGACACGAACCTCAAAAAAAAAAAAAAAAAAGAAAGATTTTCCAAGAGGTAGAAGGAGCAATGGGGAAAGACAACCTAAATTTCCCCCTTAAATATATTTTCTGTTTCAGATAACAAGTATCTTCAAGAGTATCTTTGGATGTTGCAGGTTAAATAGATTGAAATAAATTTTATCTCTGCTGTTCCAGACCAAGCCAGTCCCTGGGTCTTAATCAAGGCAGGAAATCTGGTAGAGTGATGCCAAAACAGCAGGAACCTGGCTCAGAAAAGAGTGAGAAATAACAAGCTATACCGAGTTCAAGTGAGAGGTAGTGAGGGATTGAACCAATGCAGGAGCAGAGGAGATAAACAGGGAGATCTTGAGGAAATACCTCTGACATATCTGGAGATTGAGTTCAATTACATGGCTGCTGATTCAATCGTTCATTCCTACATAAGGAAATCCCTGTAAAAACTCTGAACACCAAAGCTGAAAGGAGCTTCCTGGTTGGTGAACACATCAGGGTCTTGGGAGAGTGATGCATCCTGTCACCATGGGGAGAGGGGGAAGGACCATCTGAACTCAGGAACTTCCCAGATTTTGCTTTATGTGTCTCTTCATTTGACTGGCTCTCTTTTGTATACTTCATAATAAAACTATAATCACAACTATAGCACTTGCCTGAGTTCTGTGAATCATTTTTGGGAATTATTGAACCTGAGGGCATTGTGGGAATCTCTGATTTTAGTCAGTTGGTCAGGAGTTTGGGATCCCCGAACTGTGGCTGGCATCTCAAATGAGACCAGTCTTTCTGGGGACTGTGCCCTTAAACCTGTGGAGTCTGACACTAACTCCAGGTGGTTAGCATCAGAATTGTATTGCACCTGGAGTTGGTTCTGAATAAAAGGTAACAGAAGGTCCTATTCAAACTGACTTTAAAAACTAAAGGGAATTTATTGGTGCATATTACTGAAAAATCCAATGTGTAAGACTTCAGCGCATGGTTTGATCTAGCAGCTCAAATAACATTACTAAGACCTGGATTTTTGTATCAGGTTTTCTGCTTTCCTTCCTTGAGACTGGCTTCATTCTCAACAAACTCTTCCCATTGCAGGATGACTTGTGGATTTACATCCAATTGAGAAGACAGGGAGGTAGAGAGAGAAAAAAAGAGAGAGAGAGGAAGAGGAGAGAGAGAGGATCTTGATGCCTCAAATAAATGTCCAAGAATTGAGTACAGTTGGCCTAAATTGGGTCATATGACCACCCTTAAACAAACTACCATGCCCAGGTGTATTGCCATAAGCCATTCAGAGCCTACCCTAAAACCAGAAGTGCCTCTGACCAAAATCATTTTGCCAAAAATGGCTTGCCTTAAGCAAAATCTGGGTACTGTTGTTAGGAAAATGGGGAAATGAATATTGGGGATACAGTCAGTCATGCCCACGACAGTGTTAAATTGATACTTATTTGACTCTTCATTTTAAAAATTAACTGCACTTTGGAAAGAACCTCCAAATCCCTTTAGTTTTTAATTCTACACTTAAGAGTTTTGTATCTGAACTCTAGTTGACTTTAAGTATTTTGTGAGATTCTCTTTGTAACCTAATGATTTGCTAGTGCAATTCAGTAAAAGAGAAATACTGGTTGCCAGCCTATGGTAAACACTCACCTTCTCTAGATATCATGTGTGTCCAATTTAATTATTCAGAGAATAATACCCTAAGAAATACCAACACAAAAAGTGAGAGTCAGATGATTCTGCAAAAGAATATTTCTATGGCCTCAGCTCTGCAAGACCACTTGGAACTACCAAAATCGATACCACAAAGCTTATACAACAAAACTCATGGACTTTATTCATGGGAACATTCTCAGATCTTCATTTAGAGCCAATTTGCTATGATTCTAGATATAATTCTAACAGATTAAGTTATCCAATATAGTGAACCTCTATTGTTCACTATTCCCTTTTTTGGGTAATAGTATTCTGATTTTCCTTTGGGTTAACTAGCTCTCTCCCTTTCAGTTTTATGGGTTTTATAGAGCTGATCCCACCCATAAGGTTGAGGAATGGTACAGGACCAAGATCCAGTCAGTCCCTTGTCCACATTAATTGATGCTAAAATGGGCAAGTGGCCCAATTTGGGCTACCTTGAGCCCTACCCAGAACTTTGCCTACAACTCTGGTGGGATTGCTAGATTGTTAAGATGTAAGCCCAGATCCATATGGGATACCCTGAGGGAACAGCCTGCTGGAAAATTATGCCAATGTAGAGAAAAGAAGAGCAGAAAGACAGAGATAGAAATAGAGATTCAGCTGGGCGAGGTGGTGGCTCATGCCTGTAATCTCAGCACTTTGGGAGGCCGAAGCAGGCGGATTGCTTGAATCCAGGAGTTTAAGACCAGCCTGGGCAACATGGAAAACCCCTGTCTCTACACAAAAAATACAAAAATTAGCCAGGAGTGGTGGCTCATATGTATGGTTCCAGCTACTCAGGAGGCTGAGATGGGAGGATCACCCGAGCCCAGGACGTCAAGGCTGTGGTGAGCCGTGATGGCCTGCTACCTCATCCTGGCCTGGGTGACCAGAGTGAGACCCTGTTCTCAAAGTAGAACATCAGAATTGAGTTCTCTCTTTCTCTGCTCAGAGAAACAGACAACTGAGCAGAGAAAGAGTGAGAAAGAGAGAACTCAATTCTGATGTTCTACTTTGAGCCCCTGGAACCAGCTACAACTAAAAAAAATTGAACTTTTCAGTTATAGGAGGCAATAAATTACATTTATTGCTTAAACATTTTTGAATTGGGTATATGTACTGAAAGAATTTTAATGAATTCATCTGGTTTTCTGGTTCAAGCAGATTTGATGAGAAGTAATAACGAGGGATTTTGCTTGAAAGCATGTAAATAAGCAGCACTTTCACTTTATTTTTTTTTTGGTGCCAGTCTGTATCTGTTGCCCAGGCTGGAGTGCAGTGGCTTAATCACAGCTCACCACAGCCTTGACCTCCTGGGCTCAAATGATTCTCCTACCTCAGCCTCCTGAGCAGTGATTTTTTAAAAAAATGTTATAAATCCTGAACACTTAATGAAATAAAATACAGTGTTTTGGTGTCTGGTGCTGACACCAAAAGAAGGCAGAACAAAACTACAAATCTCTCTCTCTTTCTTTCTACTTCATTAAACAGTTTGGGACTCTAAATATGACATCATATCTTATAGTTCATGATCTTACAATACAGGAAAATGATGGTCCTAATCTGTTTTTATAACTGCCTTCAATGTTCTTTCATATATAAAACCTTTTTTTTTTTTTGAGACAGAGTCTCACTCTGTCACCTAGGCTGGAGTGCAGTGGTGCAATCTTGACTCATTGCAACCTCCAAGTCCCGGGTTCAAGCGATTCACCTGCCTAAGCCTCCTGAGTAGCTGAGACTACAGATGTGCGCCACCACACCTGCCTAATCTTTGTATTTTTAGTAGAGACAGGGTTTCACCATGTTAGTCAGGCTGGTCTTGAACTCCTGACCTCAGGCAATCTGCCTGCCTTGGCCTCCCAAAGTGTTGGGATTATAGGCATGAGCCACTGCGCCCAGCCCATAAAACCATTTTTGATTTCTCCTTCAGTAAGTAGTTACTATACTGAAGCAAAATTTATTATCAGCGTTTCTGTCTTATTTTTTTGGGTTTTTGTTTGTTTGTTTGTTTGTTTTTGAGACTGTCACCTAGGCTGGAGTGCAGTGGCATAGTTTCAGCTCACTGCAACCTCTGCCTCCTGGGTTCAAGCGATTCTCCTGCCTCAGCCTCCTGAGTAGTTGGGACTACAGGTGCATGCCAGCACACTGGATAATTTTTGTACCTTTACTAGAGATGTGGTTTTTACTTTGTTGGCTAGGCTGGTCTTAAACTCCTGGCCTGAAGCAATTCACCTTGGCCTTCCAAAGTGCTAGGATTACAGGCATGAGCCACCTTGCCTGGCCCAGCCTTTTTCTAAAAAAAAGAAAGAAAGGAAAAAACAAGTGTAGCGGAGGATGAAGAAGTTTGGAAGAGGTATGGAGTTACTGAGACTGGGTGGTAAAAAGGAAGTGGATGTCAGTGATGGAGAGGGTTTGGGCAGAAGGAAGGAGAGTTTGAAGAGAGAATGAAGAAGAGGAAATAAATTTTCTGACCAGTGTATAAAATAATGGTATAATGCCAACAAGAATACCTGAATTTCAGTGCTTAAAAATAGCACAGTATATTGGAACATCTTAATACAGAAAACAATAATGCAATGACGACTCCCTCTTCCATCACTTTCTATCAAAGTAGCCTCTAAATCTTGTTAATCCAATTTTAGAGGCATGTCATCCCACCTAGAGATTCTGCCACTGTGCCTGGCCTGATGATGACTTTTTAGATACAATACCAAAGGCATAACCAGTAAAAGAAAAAAAAGATGTTGGATTTTATTAAAATTTAAAATTTCTGTTATGCAAAACTTCTGTTAGGCAAGAGAATGATAAGACAGCCAAAAACTGGGAGAAATATGTGCAAAAGACTTATCTGATAAAGGAGTGCTATTCAAAATATTAGAGGAGCTCTTAAACAATAAGAAAATGAACAAAATGATTAAAAAATGGGAAAATGATCCAAACAGACATTTGACCACAGAAGATGACAAATAGTATATGAAGCAATGCTCAACATATGCCATCAGGGAACTGCAAATTTAAACAATGAGATACCCACACATACTACTAGAATGGCAAAAACCCAAAACACTGGCAACATTTAATGCTGGTGGGAATGTGGAGCAATGGGAACTCTCATTCATTGTTAGTGGGAAAAAAGAAAGGGTACAGCTTCTTTGGAAAATAGATGGTTTCTTACAAAACTAAACATAGAATCCAGCAATGTCACCCCTTGTTATTTACCCAGCTGAGCTGAAAGCTTATGTCCATGCAAAACCTGCACGTGGATGTTTATTGCAGCTTTATTCATAATTGCCAAAATTTAGAAGCAACCAAAATGTCCTACAGTAGATGAATGGACAAATAGACTGTGGTGCATCCAGCTGATGGGATATTATTCATCACCAAAAAGAAATGAACTATCAAGCTGTAAAAAGACAAAGCAACATTAAAGGTATATTATTAAATGAAAGAAGCCAATCTGAAAAAGGCTGCATACTGTCTGATTCCCACTATGACATTCTGAAGAAAGCAAAACTATGGAGGCAGTAAAAAGAGTATGAGTTGCCAGGGAGGGATCAATAGGTAGAACACAGGACATCTTTAGGGTAGTGAAACTTTTCTGTATGATACTATAAGGGTGGATATATATCATTTATTATGCATTTGTCAAAACACACAGAATATACAACTCAAAAAGTAAACTCTGGCTGGGCACAGTGGGTCATGCCTGTAATCCTAGCCCTTTGGGGGACTGAGGCAGGAGGATTGCTTGAGCTCATGAGTACAAAACCAGCCTGGGCAATATAATGAGACGTCATCTCTACAAAAACTTAAAATATTAGCTGAGTGTGGTGGTGCACAGTCCCAGCTACTCAGGAGGCTGAGGTGGGAAGATCGCTTTAGCCCAGGAGGTCAAGGCTGTAGTGAGCTGAGATTGCACCTCTGCACTCCAGCCTGGGTGACAAAGCAAGACCCTGTCTCAAAAAAAAAAAAAA